ATAATAAGGAAGGATTAAGGAAAAGCCTATTAAACGCCAAATTATTTTATGATTTTACAAATTAAGCACCAAAACATCATGTTTTACAACAAATCGACAGAAAAGCAGTTCAATACACGGTAACATTATGTAGTAATTACGGTATTTACAAATTTAGCACCCAAACATCATGATGTATTGAAACAGCTGTGGATCCAGGCAGGAGCCAAACTGCGTTGGATAATACAGAATGTTGGATGAACGAAGGTTAGATAAGTTAGACTCTGCTTTATATGGCTCATGGACTGTTTTTACAGGCTATGTGGTAGTTTTAATTGCCGTTTTAAATCTTGTTTTAATTGTATTTATATGTTATTATTTTATGTTTAATGATTTACTGTTTAATGTATTTATAATTTGTTGTGTTTATGTTTTGATGTAGCATTGAATTGTGCCAAGATGTGAGCTGTTCTGAGTCCCCCTTGGGGTGAGAAGGGCAGGATACAACTACAGTATGTGTATATGTATATATGTATGTGTGTATTGTTGACCCTCTGCATCCACAGATTCTCCATCCATGGATTCAATGGCCCTTTGAAGGCAGCCATAAGGTTGAGGTGGCCCTTGATGAAAATGTGTTTGCACCTCTTCTCTATTGGCACTGAATGTTTGCCATATATGCTGGAAACCATGCTGAGTCCCTTCGGGGAGATAGAGCAGTCTACAAATAAATTATTATTATTATTATTATTATTATTATTATTATTATTATTATTATTATTGTTTGAAGAGTCAATTCAATGTGTCTCATAAAACAAAAACAAAACATGACTGAAATTCACTATTGCAGCTACGGATGCATAATCTTGTGCCACACATCCCTAACCAATTTGAATTCATTCTCTCTATTATAGTGCAGTTGCTATATTCATAAAAGTATCCCAAATCTGCTTTACTGGGCATCAGTCAAAGTAAGTGACAGAGGTAGTTAGCATGCTGACATTCCCATTCCCTCCTGTGAAGAGGATCTGTGACATGGACCACTGGTGGGAGGTAGATGGAAAAGTCAATATATTGCATCCTGATCAACAGAAGGACAGACTTCTGTTGTTCACAGCTGATGCCTGCTAAAGCAGAATTGTGGTACTAAAATAAATAAATGGCATTTTCCCCAACCCTATGTTACATAAGAACAACACCCTTACAGATTGTTGAATAATTTTGTTATGTAGCATTGTTATAATGCCTGAATTACAAAACAAACATTATTGTGATGTGTGGAACTGACTCATTGCTTCTTATTCATTACATTTTTAAAATTTAGAAGCTATTGTTACTTGAAAATGAAATACTTTAGTTTTGAGGAAAACAAGACAGATTCACTCCTGAGTTGCAACAATTGAAAACACCTACTTCTTTTTAAAAATATTCATAGACACTATTCAGTAAAAGAAGCAGAAGTTCTGCAAATATAAACTCAAATATGTTTTTTTTAAAAAAATGAGATTGTTCATTTTCACATTCTTCAAAGCAAACAAGGTGCTTGAAAGCCAGTAAGATTTTTTTTCCTTTGAAGGCTGTAGTGGAAATTGGATGACTTGGTCAAATAACCTACTTTTATGTTTGTTTATTTAGCATTGCGAAGACATACATTCTATGAGATGTATAAATAAACATACATAGATTTGGGCCCAAAGTTCATCTCTTTTGGGAAGAGGTTGGTTCTCAATTTCAAACACTTCCCTTCATGAAATATGAATTTATTTCCCTATGGAAGAGCTATTTATAAGTGTTCTTGCTTTTTGATAAGAAAAATAATAGCCACAGATACAACTCTACCCACAATAGTGCTTTTATTAAGAAAAAAGAAAGAAAAGAAGGAAAGGAAAGGAAGTTATACTAACTTTTATCTGTTTACTCATTTTATGCCTTAATATATGTGGAATTCACTTGGTCAACATCTCTGTGGAAGGTAAAAGTCTCAAACATCAAAAAGCAGAATTTTATATCAAATGGAAGAGGGAAGTCTGTAAGAAGATTTACAACTCAATTTAGGGGGGGAAAGTAGATTTTTAAAAAAGGGGGGGGGGCTAAAATAGCTGAACATGAATGTGGGTTGCTGTAAGTTTTTTGGGCTGTATGGCCATGTTCTAGGAGCATTCTCTCCTGATGTTTCGTAGGCATTCTTAGAAGTTGTGAGGTCTGAACATGAGTTATTTGTGAACTGTGTTTTTAAACATTGTATTTTATCATTTCTGCTGTGTTTTGTTCTTTAGCAGATAGGAACACCTTTTTACGTCTGGTAAAGAACTTATTTCTGGAACCTTTCACACTATACCAGTGGTTCCCAACCTTTGGACCTCCAGGTGTTTTGGACATCAGCTGCCACTGTTCCTAAAACTGGTAAGCTGGCTGGGATTTCTGAGAGTTGAAGTCCAAAACACCTGGAGGCCCGAAGGTTGGGAACCACTGCACTATACGATTTTTGTACTTTGATATCATTTCAATGGCAATGGCTCCACCTTATGAAATTATGGGATTTGGAGTTTAGAATTCTTCGTTAGAGACCTCAAATGCCTCTATGAACTATATGCATCAAGATTCCATATGATGGAACCATGGCAGTTCCATTTAGATGAATATGTCACAGATGAAGTTTGGGACAGCAACATCACATCATGGTCAAGGGTGCAACCGTTCTTAGATGAGTCTACAGGGAAAGGTACAACTCTCTTTCCACTCTTTCTTTGTTGAGTTAAATAACTGTAAATATGTGAGCCTTTGGTCTGCAGATGTTTTTGATTGCAACTCCCAGAAATTTTATCTAGTATTGCCAATGGTCATGAATTCTGGAAGCTGATGTTTAAAAGGTCTGGAGGACCAAATGTTGAGGACCACTGTCTGATTCAAGAAAAGAAAGTTGCCTGAATCCTACTATGAGTCCTGTCTAGAATAGACCCGTGGGATCAATTAAATTTACCTATGCATTGCTTTTCTGTTTAGTAGTTGAGCTGTTCTAGTTAGGACCTAACAAACAGCCTTCATTCTGATGTTTTCCGCATATATGGGGTATATGTGTGTGTGAATGTGTGTGTATGTGACACTAATATATCCAATCTAGTATGGTCTTTCATGTACTGAATAGCAGAGGTGCATTGTTGCATTGGTCACAGGAAGCCACACATTGCTAGCCAGTACCCCAATTTTGGATTCTGAGTCTATGAAAAATGGTGATAGGAGAAATGTGTAAGGTTCTTCTCTAAAAAGTTTGCAGAGGTCAAGTTGTTCTGCTCTGTGCCAGCCTCTTACTGTAAATATCCATTTAGTGCCCTTGGACTGTGTCTATTCTGACAAAGATGGAATGTACCACAAATAATGCCAGCTCTAGCTGGAATCGAAGGCTGGCACACCAAGGTTACAGAAAGTTTCTGAATCTTCGCACGCTTTGGTTAACACACCTTCAGGTATAGAGTTGCTAGGTTAATGAAGCAGAAATGATCAAATAACTGATTATTATGGGATGGTGTACGTGACTTGCTGAGTATGCATTTGCCAAGGTATAGAATATGCTAAGTAGTGACTACATAAAACATTGTTGCTTATTAATCTCCTTATACAAGTGTATACATGCTGAAGCCCTGTCTTTATTCGAAGGCCTCCTTTTGAGAGGCAGATACCTTTTTTGTTGTAGCAGTAAAAGACATGGAACTTTCCCCTTTGTGGGTTTTTTAATTGAAAAAGGCAAACTGGGGATCGGAACCTTCCTAAGTCGGCTTGGGGACAACACATGGCCATTGCTCAGAGGTTATCATATGCACAAAGCAACAAGTGTATAGTGGAAATGTTTTTATCTTGATCAACCAAAACCATCCAACTTTCTATGCTGTTTGGGCTTTTCTGTTATTTGCTATTTTGATGCTGATTAGCTTGGTCTCGGTTGGAAAGCACTTACATAAATCACATTTGACATACATGGTTGTGGGATGAGCTTTTTCATGGCTTCTGAGCCCTTGAAAAGTCCACAGCTACTTGATCTGAATGCTAGAAATCAGACTTACTCTTTCTTAATCTTAATTGGTCTCTAAACATAAAGAACAGCCCAATATATGCTTTCACAGACTGGCATCATCATAGGCAGAAAGATTAATCTTACAAGTGTCTAGAATTATGGTATACCATCTACTGACCTGATCAAATTTTTGAGCATTGGAGTCACTCTGAAACAAGGAAAAGAAACAAGCATAAACCCAATAGGACATGGCTATGGATCCTTTAGCATTCTATACGTTTTTCAGATTTCATCTATTAGCCTGGCCAGGTAAAGGATTCTGGGAGCTGTAGGATATTACTCATGCTTACTACTATCCTGTACTTTTCTTGTGAGGCAACTTACCATCATGATGTTGAGTGTCTTTGCATACCACTGGTGTTGTGCAATTGGGATGCCTCAGTTGTGCAAAGCCACCCTTTTGGGAGACTGACATAAATTCTGCCCTTTTATGTGTTGCTTTTTCTATTATTATTATTATTATTATTATTATTATTATTATTATTATTATTGTATTGTCGAAGGCTTTTATGGCCGGAATCACTGGGTTGTTGTAGGTTTTATCAGGCTATATGGCCATGTTCTAGAGGCATTCTCTCCTGATGTTTTGCCTGCATCTATGGCAAGCAAACAACAATTTGAAAACAGAAACCCAGTTAGGAAATTCAATTTTTCATTTCTCCACTCACACAAACTGTTATTTCTTAAACTGCTGCAACTGAAGCAGCACAAGAAATATTTTGTGTCCTCCCAAAAAAAGAAAACTGGATTACTAAAGGGATTTCTTAGTTGCCCCTCAGAGCTAACAAATAGTGGAATTTGAAATTAATATAGCATATAGCCTGTTACCCTTTGAATCAACACCAAAAAGAGAAAAGACAGAGAAACATGATTTGAAAGCAGGCTAGCTCCCTCCTTTTTTCATTCGAAGTGAGGAAATACATGGTAGGAAACGCAGAGTGGGAAAGGGAGAGTGGGAGAGAAAAAGATCACATACACATTCACAGTATACAAGAGCATGGGCAACACATTGCTGTCTGACTTTCCTGTTTGCACTCACAAAAGAACACAGACTACTCCTGTTGCCTATTTGCATGTCACTCTGCTGTTGCATTTTAAAGAGTCAGCATGAATTAAATTTGGCATCCCCAAAAGAGCTTCTGCTTTTCCTGCCTGGCAAAAGCAGGGTTGTGTGAATTGGGGGATACTTTGTTCATATTCCCTCAAAGATCTGTGGTTTGGGAGTTGATGGCTTGGTTGCTTTGAGATGACTGCTTTTTCAGTCCTTGGAGGGCTAAGATAATGCTGCAACTGCTGAGAAGCATTTAAGTCAGCCACTGTGAGAATCACTGCAGCATGTTTGTGGAGTGAAGTGCAAGGCTTGGAGGGACTCTCCAGTCGTGCCAAAGTGGAAAAGAGCTCATGCCGTCAACTAGCTGAGCATGCACAGCTCTGAAAACTCTTCAAAGCTGAAGGTAAGTTCTGCATTTTATATTTTATACAGAGACAGGTGTGAGGAATGCAATGGACTTTCAGTTGCTTTATTTCTTACTCCCTCAGTTCCATGCAGATATATAAATATATTTCCTCTGCTTTTCAACTGATAGAATTTTCAATCTGAGATAGACTGATCAATGTATTCTAATGACAATGCCTACCAGTGGGATAAAGTAGTGAGAAAGGGCTGTAACTCTTATTAACACAGTAAACTTTCCCTTGATTATACCCCTTTCTTTCCCCCAGTATGACTTTTTGAACTTGTCCACTACAAAGGATGCTTTAAGCCAAGAGCTTTGAATCAATCTGACCACGGTCCCCTGTATTGTTAAGTCACAGCGGAGAGTTTTGAGAAATGATGAAGGTGAGAGGTGCCAGCAATTATTTGTTCGTGCTGCTATGGTCTCTGCTGAAGCTGAGTTTTGAAAGCGTCTTCTGGACCACCTTTGGCTGTAAACAAGAAAACCTAGAAAGAGACTTGAGACACCTTAATGACAAACATTTTTTTTAAATTTGGCATGAGCTTTTGTGGAAAGCTTTAGGTGCTCCAAGTGAAAGCATCAATTTATTGAAAGCAGTTGCCAAATAACACTTGTTGGTGTTTCAAATGTGCTTGCTGTCTTTGTTGCAATAGATTAAAATACCTATGCCACTGGAAATTTCGTCTCGGACTAAACTCCAGCCTTTTGTTCATAACAACCAGTGAATGACAGTACAGTCTGGTACTTCCCCCTTATTACTCTTTTTCTCAGGCTGCCTTATCCACAAGGAGAAAATGCTCTGTTCTATGCCTGTCAGTGCCTGAATTGTGTTCTAGAACAATAGCCCCAACCAACAAATTAAATTGACAGGCAGAGACCCAATTGTATGGTAGTTAAATTACTATATGTGCAGAGGGGGTGCATCAACAACAAAGGAAAGGGATGTATGTATGTAAAATATGAAGACTGTGCAAAAGCACTGTATATTCTACTAGATTCATTGCAATCCTCATTTTCCTAGGGAGACAAGGAGAAAATGTGTTGACCAGCACCTAATAACTGAAGCAAGCAGGTGAAGATGGAGAACAGCACCACTGATGGACAAAATGAAACTGAATACCTGCCCAACCAAGAAGTAGTCACTATTGAATATCAGGTGGTCACCATCCTTTTGGTTCTCCTCATCTGTGGGTTAGGTATTGTGGGCAACATCATGGTGGTAATGGTGGTACTCAGGACCAAGCACATGAGGACCCCAACCAACTGTTACCTAGTGAGCCTTGCAGTGGCTGATCTCATGGTATTGGTGGCTGCTGGGCTTCCCAACATCACAGAGAGCATCTATGGATCCTGGGTGTATGGCTACCTTGGATGTCTCTGCATTACTTACTTCCAGTATCTTGGAATCAATGCTTCTTCTTGCTCTATTACTGCGTTTACTGTTGAGAGATACATAGCCATTTGCCACCCTATCAAAGCCCAGTTTTTATGTACTTTCTCTAGAGCCAAAAAGATAATCATCTTTGTCTGGGCATTCACATCCATCTACTGCATGCTCTGGTTTTTCTTGTTAGACCTCAACACAGTTGTCTACAAAGAGACCACCATAGTGGCCTGTGGCTATAAAGTGCCCAGGAGCTACTATTCTCCAATCTACATGATGGACTTTGGGATATTTTATGTCATACCAATGATATTAGCTACAGTGCTCTATGGGTTGATTGCCAGGATATTGTTCCTGAATCCCATCTCGTCAGACCCAAAAGAAAAGTCCAAGACATGGAAGAATGATTCTTCTCCCCTGAGCAAGACCAAAACAACCAATAAAGGTATCAACAGTGCTGTGGCTTCAAGAAGGCAGGTAAGAAAGCTACCTATGAAATAGCTTTTTTGAGTGAGGGATTAAGGCTCTATCTACACTGCCATATAAAATCCTGATTATCTGCTTTGAACTGCGTCTACATTGCCACATAATCCAGTTCAAAGGAGATAATCTGGATTTATATGACAGTGTAGTTGGGGCCTTAGATCATGTAGGATCTTTTAAAATATGTGGAAAAAGACATTCTCCTGGTCCCATCAACATTAAAAGCATATTTTGTGAGTACATGAGAGAGCTTTGTCAGTGGCTGGTCAGAGATTATGGAATTCCATCTCATGGGAGATTTGGTTGTCCCCTTCTCTCTTTCTATTGCTTTATCATTCATGTGGCAAAGAGAGCTTTTAAGGATGTTGGACATTAAACTTTTCCAATACAATTTGTTGTTTTATATTGGTTTAACTTTATCTTTAAGCCAAATTCTTGTTTAATGGGGTTTTTAATGAAATGTTATATATTATTTTAGTTGGACCCTGCTTTTGATTACTTCCAAACTGCCTTGGATCCTGTTCAAGGGGGAAGGTGGAATACAAAAAATACAATACAAAATAATAAATATGATATCTACATCTACACAATGCATTTCCTGAAGGATTGAAGGCCCCTTTCAGAGGAATTTCTGTGCAAAAATGTTCAGGACAAAAAAATGTGATGACAAGAAAAAACTGAGGTCTTCATGTCATACTGGTTAACTTACTAGAAGAAATGCTTAGCTGTTGGAATTCTACTAGATTGTCTTTTTTTCTCATCCAAAAATGAATTTCCCACTAAGGGTTCCAATGGTAGCCATTGTGACATGACACAGGACATCCAAAGATGTACATTTTGCACAGCATCCGAAGAAGTGGGTTTCTAACCATAGAAGCTCATGCAAAAATAATAACTGGTTAGTCTTAAAAGTGATGGCACATTCCTTTCCCCTCCTGTGCCTCTTTCCTCCTACTTATGCTTCAAGAGACTTATATGTCTATATCTTTGAAAACCGTTGTATTTTGTTGTGTTTTTTTGTGTGCCTCCAAGTTATTTCCAATTCATGACAACATTATCTTAGGGCTTTCTTGGCAAGGGGGTTGCTTTGGCCCTCCTGTGAAGCTGAGAGAATGTGGCTTGCCCAACATCTCCCATATGGCTTCTATGGCTGAGCAGAAAATTGAACCCTGGTGTCTTGGCCCTCCACCATTACCCTAAAAAATGGGAGGGGGGGGGTTACAAGAGAGATTAGGCTGAGAGAGTGAAGGCTTCCCAGTGAGTTTCATGGCTCATTGTGGAATGAACCTTTCAAGTCCAAGTTCAGTCCTCTAATCAAAACAGCTTTTCTCATTTATTTTTGTCGTTGAGGAAGGATGTGGACAATCTACACAGTAGTAGTAACCTGAAACAACAAAGCACATATGACCATGAATGGAGGCACATGTAATTTGACTATAAGGAAATTGAAAATTCGGAAATACTGGTATTTGGGCTTGTGTTCCTGCTAAGTTAAAATGTTAAGCTATTTAATCTATCTAGAAATAGAAATGTTATGTCTTAAGCAAGAAACTCTGCTCATTTGGAGATTTCTAAATAGAGGTTGGATGGACCACATTCAAGAGTGCTTTAGAAATGTATTCCTGCATGGTAGGAGGTTGGACTAGATGGCCCTTGTGATTTCTACCAAGTCTATCATTCTATGGAGAGTCTGGAATCATCTCCATCAGAAAAGCAAGACCTATATCATTCATAATGAGCAGTACTATTAAGTAACGCCGGATTCTGGAATCATAGGGGATAGAGAACATGTTTAGATGTGCTGTTCTTTTCTTTACTATCTTCAGAATGATTTAAGTTAAGCCTTTTATACTTGGTGTATTTATGTGAGCTTATTCTTCTCATTGGAGACTTGGTTGTCTGCCACAATGTTCTGTTCAGGGCAGTTAATGTGTCTGCTCCCCATGTGGACTTAATCTTTGGAATAGGATTGGCTTTAATTCCTTGCTGAGTATAAATATTCAGTTGCAGATTCATCATGTTGTGGTACCTTTTATGAAACAGCCTTCAACACCTAAGCCAAAGTTCCTTCTGAAGGACTCTGAGAAATCAAATTTACACAAAATGTACTCCTTTTCTCTTTGAACTCATTTTTGTTGCTCAGCTGGAACCCAGGTCAGAAATCAGCACAGTATGTTATCTCATGATCTCAGGTTAATTATCTTGAAAAGAGAGCGGTCCCTCTTCCAGCTAATATTATGTCTTAAGCAAGAAAGGTGAAAAAGAATTGGTTTTAATCTGATTATAATTTCCAAAAATGCCAAGTTTTTCTTACTGAACAAACTCTGTGATAGATTTTCCTTAGGATCACCATAAGTCAGAAATTACCTCATACGCACACAAAACAACATTGAATGTTATCACTGAAAATAATTTCATTTTTAAAAATTTATAAAAATGTTCCAATTACATACTTGGGATGCCAAAAACTTTAGATTTACAAAATCTGAATATTGGAAAAGGGGCAAAGTGCCCAAAATACTGGAATCAGTATTGTATTTATTGTTAGCTGTCTAAAGGGGAGACAGGTGGGATAAAAATAAATCCAATCATCATGACCAACAACTAAGCAGTGTGACAGGCCTGCTATTGTTATAGGCCTGCCAATACCTTCATCTTATCTTTGTTCATGAATGGGCTAGCCACCTTTCCAGAGCAAATACATATTTTTATTTTCGTAGCATTGTATTCTGCAATATATTTCTACAGTTCAAATGGGGCAAACATAAATAAAAAAGCAGACCAATCTGCTCTAAGTGTATAGTAACAAATTCAACACACATCCTATCCATCAGATTCAAAAACTATTGTGCAGCACTCAAAGAAATGGGAGAACCAGAATGGCAAAGAGAAGGCTTTACAGCAAAGTGCATGACAAATTCTATAAAAGACAAAGTTGGCGTTTGATCTCAGCTGGATACTCTGTGACTTGCTGTGACAGGTCCTGTTCTATACTCAATGTATAATTGGCAAGAAGTAATATTAGAAACAAGGCTGCCTTTTCCTTTCTTGCAGTATGTTAGAAGTAAGCAAGCAAGCACCAACCACTCAAGACATATGACAACTCCATAATAGTTTTTGAAGTAAACCTTGTTTATGCTGTTCTTCTCCCCATGGAGGAAAATGTCACCCTATTAAATTTAGACATGCTGAGATAGCTCGTAATTAATTTCCATGTCAGCACTGTGGGGAATCCACTCTGAGGTTTATCATTCACTTTGAATGATCTGTCCAAGGTGCTGAACCTATTTAAAGTCTCCTTGAAGACTGGAATAAAACAATGTAAGATTCTACATTGAACCCAACAGTTGCCACTGAAGTCACAGAAAATGCAAAATGGCCAATGGGTGTATTTTGTACATTACCACATGCTTGATTTATGCCATTCACACAATAATAGCCACGGGAGTATATTCCAGCACCATACTAAAGACCTTGCTGTTGGGATGGATTGTTGAAGGAAGGCAATTGCTGGAAGGAGACTACTGAATGAAAGGGACCTTTAGCCTGATTTAGCAATGCTATTTGAGTCCTCACATTTCCTCACACTAGTATGCAAACTAAATCATCTGAGAGTCAGTGTAATGGAACAAACAGAATACTTAGAGCAGCACAACTTGTGAGCTGACTCCTTGTCAGGCAGCGATGCATTTATAACCTGATCTGTTTAATTTCTATGCTGGACATAGTGTTTTTATGTATTTTGTCCTATGAAATGGACTCTTGTTCTGAGATTACATTGGTCAATCAGATATTTTACCGTACCTATTGTTTTTCATGATCAAATTATTTGCTATAATCTATTAAGTAGAAGCTGACTGCCTTTTGAAAATCTTCATTATCCAATGTATGTTTGTGACATGATCTCTAGTGCCTCTTTCTTCCCCAAATCCAGTTTGGACATTTACCATTTCTTACTCCATATATGGTAAAAGTCCTTATAGAATTTTGAACAACATGTTGCTAGTATGGGGAATTAGGTTTGTCATTACTGCAATATCTGGTGTCTCCTTTCTTGTGAATTGCAATGTGTTTCCAAACTGTGGGTCATTATTTGCAGAGAGATTTTAGTTAGATCTAGAGTATATTCTGTCTATGTAGCTTGAAGTAGCTCTATAGATGTGCAATCTTTTGATAGTGATTTATTTTGTCGAAGTGCTCTGAGTTCAGCTTCAGCTTCTTTTACTAAACTTCCTTGAATGAATCTGTCATTCTTCCACCTCTTTTATATAGGCAAGATTGAGTAAGAAGTCAAATATGAAAGCCTAGGTGGCTAATTGCAAGGTCAAAATGATAATGCAAGTTTCAGTATCGGATTAAACTATGAAGTAATGTCAAAGTACCAGGGATGATCCCATGCAATATTTGATTGGCTGGGCCTCATATAAAAGCAGGAAAGCCAATACGTTTTCTTCTTGATGTTCTGCTTGTTCTCCACAGCCTTGATCATTTTAGTCACCCTCCAAACTGGAAAGTGTCCAGAGGAGGGTGACTAAAATGATCAAGGGTCTGGAGAACAAGCCCTATGAGGAGCGGCTTAAAGAGCTGGGCATATTTAGCCTGAAGAAGAGAAGGCTGAAAGGAGACATGATATCCATGTATAAATATGCGAGAGGAAGTCGCAGGGAGGAGGGAGCAAGCTTGTTTTCTGCTGCCCTGGAGACTAGGAAGCGGAACAATGGCTTCAAACTACAAGAAAGGAGATTCCATCTGAACATTAGGAAGAACTTCCTGACTGTGAGAGCCGTTCAGCAGTGGAACTCTCTGCCTGGAGTGTGGTGGAGGCTCCTTCTTTGGAAGCTTTTAAACAGAGACTGGATGGCCATCTGTCAGGGGTACTTTGAATACAATGTTCCTGCTTCTTGGCAGGGGGTTAGACTGGATGGCCCATGGGGTCTCTTCCAACTCTATGATTCTAGCTAGCTTTCCTTGTTTATATACTGAACACAGAATCC